CCAGAGAAAGTAGGAGATGGAACAGGGAAGAATTTAAATCTAACCTAACTGTCAAATAAAGTGATGTGATTTTACTAATACTTTATTCAACTTGATAAACATTTCAATTTGAAGTAACGGTCACAAATGTAAAATTTTATGTTTACGAAACATAAAAACCACACATCTAAAATAACTACAATAAAAAAAAAAACAAAAAAAAAAAGCACAATTAAAAAAAAAAAAAAAAATCTCAGGATTTAACACTTATTTCCCTAACCACTATTGTATGTCTTACCTGGCTTTTCATAAACTTGCCTCCCATCTCTCCAAACTGTGATTGTGTGGGAGGCATGATGTGTCCCCCATGGCCATTAAAGAGCTGATTTGAACGATGACGTCCCATGGTGGGTGAAAATCTATCCTGGATAACTCCTGGACCAGTACCAATTCCGCTACCTTAAAATACACACATGGACAACTCTTTAAAACTCTGAAATGTTAAGATGACTTTCAGTCTCACCAAGCCACCAATCTGTTCAAAATTACCTGGCATTTGTCCAAACATATCAGCGAGTCCTCCAAGTGGGTCCCTATCCATTTTCATCCTGGGTGGCATGAACGGCCCCTCCAGAAAGAAGTCACTTCTCATCCCTTGAGCCATAGGAGCAGGAATAAACACTCCTAGATCCTTCAGAAATAAAGAAACATTTTCATCTCTGGACCCTATTGTACTCAAAAACTACAATTTATACACTAGGAAAAACAGAAAACCTCTTATTCATTACATTGAAACAGTTTCAAGAAGTTAAGAGGCTACCTGTACTACTATAGAAACACTGAAAACTAGCTTACTTTTACTGCATCTTGACGGATTTGATTGATCGTCTTTGGTCCATTGTCAAGAAAAGCCTTGCGAGGAACCCAATGGTGCTCTCGCAACTCTACGGTATCCTTTAAAGCAAAGGTAGTGTAAGTTTTAACATTCCTCAACAGAAAAACTCACTCTTATCAACATACTTAAAAGAAACCAGTTTTACCTGCAGCAGGAAACGAATCCTTGCTGGCAATTCCTTACTTAACATCAAGGAGCACATTCGGGCAAAGTACTGATCCATTAAGGACTGGTAAGAGAAAAACATGTACTATTTAAGGCTTTTGACACTTCTACATTATAACCAAAGTGACTAAATATGGCAATTCCCTATTGTCACAAAAAGGTGCTAGACTTCAATAGAATTAAGACAAGCTATTTGTCCTACCTTGGCTCGTTCATGGTCTAACCTAGGTCCCACTGTCCTCATTATCTGACAGAGGCACTCCAAATCCTCTCCCATATCTTTGAGTTGGACTCTCTTCTTCTTTTCCAAAAGCTACCAAAAGAATAAAATGCCACGTGTTGATGAAATTTTAGTTATTCCAGTTTACACAGTATCTTCCCCCTTAGGTTTGCATTACTCTTAATTCCCAAAGCAGCTAGTACAGTGCTATCGATAGGTCTACGCTGAAACTCTTCCACAAATTTAGCAATTTAAATGCAGACAACAGCTTTACTTTTACTTTTGTAAAATCCAGTGCATACTTCTATGTTAGATCTGTTAAGTTTTGGTGGCTACCTACGTTCTTAATATCCATGTACCTTCTCAGATGGCACAAAGCAATTACAGTTGACATATCTTCTTCAGTATTGTTCCCACTATCTTAATGTAAATCTAAACTGCCAGTTATACTTACTGTTTTGATGCACTTATGAAGGATAGATTCATGAATAAGATCAAGCTTGCCAAGTTCTCCAATGAATTTGATGTTCCCCAACATCTTGATCTTAGCAATGGCTCTCTGTTCCTCCTCCTCGGGGAGAAGAGGATTTTCACGCTTATCATAGACTGAAAGGGGGAAAAAAAAGACAAATAAAGTCATTATGTGGGAATCAGGTTTTCATGTAGAGTATTATTTAATATAAAAAATTCTTACCATCAACATTTCTGGTTCGGTTTTCAAATTCATCTTGTAATTTGGAAATTAGGAGGCGTCTGAATGTCTGTTCGGAAACAAAAACTATTTGTAGTCTTTGCTAATGGAATCTTTCAAACCAATTTTAAAATAAGCAAACAAAAACCACCACTTACTGTGCTTTGCTTCTGTCCTGGTTGACCCTCTGCTGCTGGGCCATCAAAGTTTGGTGCATCTTCTGCCAATCGCAGACATAGCTGAGCATACAGTGAGCTATACTTTGGCTCTTCTAGGGCTTTGTCCACAATCTACACAGAAAATGTCATTTTTAAAAACCTAAACTAGAGCTATTCTTGTGGTACCAGGGACTGACCTCAGGGCCTTGCACTTGCAAATTACCACCAGGCACTTTAAAAATTTTGATTTTAAGTTAGTAGCTGGATTACAGGTGTGCTGAAGTGGAAATGCATGGTCCCAACAATCTTACTGTATGAGACAAATTACTTTTCTGCCTCATTTACAACTGAGAAATGAGAATATATTTCTCACAAGTTTCTTGTGTAAGTTAAACAATACAGATCAACTGTTTAGTACACACCTTGGAAAAGTAAGAACTTAAATGTAAGCCGCTACAGCGTGCCAAAAACATCTAGCCATACTGATTTTCACGTAGCTGCATTCCTCTCCTCCCTAAAGTTAGAAGACACCATGGATAGAACTATAGACACTGGAGGGCTGAACATCTAAGCCTGGGTTAGAGGGAATGCCTAGCAAGCATGAAGGCATGGAGCCAATCCCCAGCACAAGACAAACTGAAATAATACTGAAATTATTAACTTGTAAGTCCAAAACAGCATCTTTCACAAAAGGTAAACCAAATGCAGAGGATAGCCTCTGCTTAACTCTCCATGTACAGTATAACTTATTTTTTTTTAGACAGGGTCAGGCTATATAGTCAAGACTTGCCTCTAACTTATGGCAACCCTTTCTCAGCCTAAAACTCATACCATCCGAAGTTAATGGCTCTACTTTTATCACTACTAGTATTCATGAATATATACCAATCTAGCAAACACTTCAAGGCTTTAAATAATTAGGGGTAAAAACACCTGAAGGTAGATGTTTTCTTTTCCTTTCCCTTTGAGTTTTAAGCCGACATTTAAAACTTACCAGCAGTATGACCCCTTTAAGGATGAGTTTAGACTCTACACCCACATTGAGGAGCTCAAGGCATAGCTTGTCAAACTTCTCAGGAGTAAGCTTATTTAATATGCTGTGGGAAAGAAATCATATTTGAAATATCAGCCCATAGAGAATTGTTGAAGTAAAAAAAATCTTTTAAATTATGTTTATATTTTTCCTTGCTCTCTTTTATAGCAAGACATGTGTTCTTATATAACCAAAGAGACGTAAAAATGAACTTCTGTTTTAGAGTATCATAGTATTTGCTATCAGGTTGAGGGGTGCCCAGCTGTTTAGCAAGAAACCTTTCTCTAAGCCCAGAGTGCAAGGGCCTCATTATTAGGGCTGGACCAGGAGCTGTGATCATTGTACCAGGCCAAGATGGAAATGCCAGCACAACAGGGTTATGAGTTATAATCCACAGCTACAAAGAACTGTAAGCCCTATCTCCCTCAACTGATGCAAAAAAGCCAACTGTCATCACTACCTTTATGAAAATCACTCTTTTGGCATGAACCTTGCCTTCTAAGTAGCATACCACACACACAGAAATACAGCTAATCCACATCTCTTCCCTCTTTGCATGAAAACAGACTTTGAAACTTACCCTCTTACTTTCCTGAAGATTGCATCATGTCGTTCTTTTTCATTTGCGGAGTTGTTTGCTGCGGAGTTGTCATCTCGTCTAGTGCTTCGTGCAGGAATCCATTTCTGAGCGTTTTGCCCTGGGGTTTTCCCCAGGAACTCGCTGAATAATAAAAATTAACACAGACTTTAATTAGGAAAGCTTTAAAAAATTCTGCTGAACACAATATAAAACTTTAGGCTGTTCTCAACTTCCCCTATAACAAAGCAACACTGAAAATCAGTGGTTTCCAGCCAGCAGTAGGTATATGTGAAAATCACTTAAAGGACTTTATAATACAGATTCCTGGGCCCAATGTCAATTTCTGCGTTAGCAGAGTGGGGCAGGGCCTTCAGAATATACATTTCAGTACCCATTTCCAGGTAGTGCCTGTGCTGCTGCAATCAGCACTACGATGACTTAAGGCCACACTTCACACTTTACTAATACCCATTAGAAAGAAATGTAAGGGATTCCAGAGCAGCCATCAATAAAAATAACGCAAGAATATGAGAAGATCAGTTTGAGAGCCTCAACTCACACTGGATTACCTAAGAAGGTAACATTCTGTATTTAGGATTATTTAGCCAGAATCGTTTAGCAGGGCGTGGTGGCACACGCCTGTAATCCCAGCACTCTGGACTGAGACAGGAGGATCATTTCGAGTTTAAGACAGGCCTGGACTACAAAGCAAGCCCAAGGCCAACCTGAACTGCACTGCCAGACCCTCTCTCAAAAAGAAAAAGGTGGAAGAGACTATTTAGCAGGAACCAATGCCCCAACCAAGATTAAGATTCCTGATACACCCTATACGGTTTTGGTATGCATGTGAAAGACTCCGAAACTTTTATTTATAAAAGCCACTGTTTTTACGTGCTTCCATACCTGTTGCCAGCAGTCTTGGGATAGTGCTGAGGTGCACCCCTACTTCCTCCTCCGCCCGAAGAAGCACTATGTACAAGGAAAAAAAAAAAAACTTACTACACAGTGCCAGCTATTTGACTAAAAGGAGAGAGTTATTTTGGATTTTAAAAGTTATACCACAGATGAAGACTGAACTTGGGCCCAAAGGAAGGCCAAACAGTTACATTTACTCTTCATATAGTACTATGACAAGACTGTCAAAAACTTGAGGTCTATCAAAGTGACAGTACATCAAGTCTGAACTATTTAAGGTTTCCTGATTAAACTTTTGAGAACAATGCTAAAATAAATCTGCACATACCTGAAACGAGAAGCACCCCCTTCTGCAATCGCACTCTCCACTTTGGCGGCTTGACAACGAAGAATCTTCAAAAGAATAATATTAATGGATGGGGTGGGGAGGGGCGGGGACGGGAGAAACGAGAAACCTGGAATGAGAAAGAGCAGCCGTGTCAGACCCCGCTGGCGCGCGGCCGCGCACCCTGCCTTCACCCGCAAGCTTCCTCAGGACGCGGGCCCCGCGGCCGGGCCACCTCGCACCGCACTGCAGGCCTCGGGGCGGAAATGGAATACGGAGACACAATCGGGCGGGGGTTCTGTCTGCGCCGCCGCCTGGAACCCCGGCCGAGACCGCGGCGAGGGCCCGCCGCCT